ACCACACCCGGCTAATTTTTGTGTTTTTAGTAGAGACAGGGTTTCACCATGTTGGCCAGGCTGGTCTGGAACGCTTGACCTCAAGCGATCGTCCGCTTCAGCCTCCCAAAGTGCTGGGATTACAGGCATGACCCACGCCCAACCCTATATTACTGTTTAAATCATTTTTTACATAAATAGTAATATAAGATGCGCATTTTCTTCTGACAATCTGGAAGAAACTTTTTAAAAGTATAATGTGAACAGTAATGTTAAATTATGGTCTCTGTGTTTGTTTACTTAGAATTTTGTGAAAGTACTTTTTATGCTTCCTAACTTGAATATTTAAACCCTCTCCTGCCTTAATTTAACTATAGTATTTAAATGTGGGCAAGAGGTATAGGGAACTTAAATAAATAGAATGTTATTATTTTAGTAGAAATGTACATTTTTCACTTTTCTGAAAGCATCACACAGGTTATCGAACTTTTAGATGGAATTCGCATCTGTGAACTTGCTCTTTCATGTGAAAAGATAAGCGAGGTCACTGTCAAAGATTGGTTGGTTTGCCTTGCAAAACGGAAAACTGGAATTTTAGCTCAAAAAGTAGAACCTAAAATCAACATAGATGTACAACTAGATTCGCAAAAGAAAACTGGAGTTGAAGATGAGCTGTTTCAAGAGGATGACCGTGGTGAGCTTCAGTTTTACTTTATGCATGTAGTAATAAATGGAGAATGAGTTCCTGAGTATACTGACCAAAAGATTATAAAAATATTCCTCAGCAATTTTCTATAGAAATTGAAGTGTGATATTTTGCTAAGATGTATAAGGCACAGAATAATTACTTTTCCTGCCTTTTACATAAAACTCTGATATCTTTGAAGAATTGAGCTTTTTATAATCTTCATATTTTACTTGTCACAAGGAGCTTGGTTTGTGAAATAATTTAAGTATATTACGGTTGTTTTATATTTAGATCACTGATTATTACTGAACGGAATGAATTTAATGGAACCTGATAGGCAAATAGCTAATATTCCAAAAAGCAACTTCTAAGATGCTGCTGGAATTCTTGAAAGAACTGAGTTTAGATCTTTGTCATATATGCACATTATTTAGGCCATGAACAAGTTTTCAAGTATCCATTGATTTATGATATGGGCTTACCCATTTGGTTATAAAATCATATGTTTATTATATAATCATTGACAAATCATTTCTGTATAATAACTGGCAGAGTAGCTCTAAAACAAATACAAGGAAAAAAAGAGAAAAAACTTAGAGTAACTCATATTTTAACAGTTTTGTGAAAAAATTAGAAAATATTTTATGTAGCTTATAGTACATATATTTTTTACAACAGAAGAATCACATTCTGATTTTCCATATGGATCATTTCCCTACGTTGCTAGACCAGTACACTGGCAACATGGTCATACAGGTGAGTAATGTTTTCAGAACATATTAAATGGTGTTTTTTCTTCTAATTAATATAATGACTTTATGTTTTTCTTCTCTTAAATTAGCTTTTCTTGTCAAGTTGAGGAAGGTCAAACCACAACTGAGTACTCCAGATGACAGCAACTGACTTGAAGATGGAAAAATATCAAAATAGAACCTTATATTGAAAATCACTACTTTCATAGATTGGCATTTTTAGCTATTACTGTGACTTATATAACTTTTACATATAATTTTGAAAATAACAAATAAAATAAAGATGTATAACATGGCAAAACTGCTTAAACGTCCCATTTTGACACTTGTCTTGCAGTTAGTTTGACATTTTGTAGTTAATGATTCCAAATTGATTTAGTTGGACCATCTCATTCTTCGCTTCCTGTGAACCACTCCATAGATTTGTCTTTCTTCAAGAAATTAGTTTTCTTTCCTTTATTTGATTGATGGTCATTGACTACTGAAATAAAATTGCATTTTAAGATAAACTTTATGTATCTGTCCATTTTAAATACATCTTATCATGAGTTGTATATGTCTTAAAAAATAATAGTCTGGGTTACAGTAAATAATGGGGGGAAACTTAAGAATGATATAATCACCTTAAAAATTGTAACAAAATATGTAACAGCTCTTGAATCTCTTTTATCCCCCTCAGAATCTTTTTAACCAGCTTGAAAGAACATCAGAATTGTTCAGTGTTACTATGTAAATTAAATGTTTAGGGGCCGGGCACAGTGGCTCACACCTTTGGGAGGCCAAGGCAGGCAGATCACCTGAGGTCAGGAGTTCGAGACTAGCCTGGCCAACATGGCGAAACCCTGTCTCTACTAAAATACTAAAAATTAGCCAGGCGTGGTGGCGGACGCCTGTAATCCCAGCTACTCGGGAGGCTGAGGCAGGAGAATCGCTTGAACCTGGGAGGCGAAGGTTGCAGTGAGCTGAGATTGTGCCACTGCACTCCAGCCTGGGTGACAGGGCGAGACTCCGTCTCAAAAAAAAAAAAAAAGTTTGGGCAATACATTTTAGAAACATGAATTAATTACAAATGGGACTTATATTCATAGGCATCAGTTATTTAGCATTTACCACATATCATACATTGTTTTGAAAACTTTATATGTGTTTTTCACTTACTATGGACAACTTATCTTTCAGGTTATCCATATTTTACAGATAAACAGTGACTTAGAGTGATTAGGTCGCTGTTTAAATATAGATGTTTTATGGGTTTTTGGTTGTGTGTGTGTGTGTGTGTGTTTTTTTTTTTTTTTTTTTTGAGACAGGTTCTCATTCTGTCACCCAGGCTGCAGTGCAGTGGCATGATCATGGCTCATTGCAGCCTCAATCTCCCAGGATCAAGCAAGCCTCCCACCTCAGCTTCCCATGTAGTTGGACTACAGGCACATGCCACCACACCCAGCTAATTTTTGTGGGTTTTTTGGTAGAGACGGGGTTTTGTCATGTTTCCCAGGCTGGTCTCAAACTCCTAGGCTCAAGCAATCCTTCTGCCTTGACCTCCCAAAGTGCTGGGATTATAGGTGTAGAGCCACCATGCCCGGCCTCTTTTATGGGCTATAAAATAGTAATGCCTTGGAGGGTAAATGCCACCATTCCTAGATTTATCTCTTAGGCTAGAAGTATTTAAAATTATACATGTGTGTAAATTTTTTATTAAATAATATATTACAGAACGTAGAACATTTTAAAATCTCTGCCTTTTTAGAGTTTACAGTCTATGATAGAGCTTGACATTAAATAGTCACACAGATATAAAACCAAAACTGTTATAAATTCCTCCCAAAGAAGTACAAGGTACTATGAGTAACCATAATGGGGGACTTTGCTCTAGCAAGTGACAATTGAGCTGAGACCTGAATGGTAAGTAGGAATTAACTACAGCAGGGGAAATGGGAATAAAAAGTGATGCTGGGGTCGAGTGGAAAAGATGGATAGATAGATAGGGATGAGGCCATGCAAGTTCTTATATGCCTGTGAAGGAATTGGTCTATCCTAAGAAAAATGGGATGCCATTGAAGAATTTAAGTAAGGGGTGACATGTTCAGATCTGTGTTTTGAAAATCACTCTGGCTGCATTTAGACAAGTGATTGAATCAGGAGCAGAGTATTCTGGTGTTATATTTCTGTATGATAACTAGCTGAACATTTATACAATAATGATGCCTTTATAGCTTTTATAACATTTCCAGATACAGTTATACATTGCTTAACAGCGGCAATACATTCTGATAAATGCATAGTTAGGCAGTTTCATCATTGTGTGAACATTATAG